AATCCATCATGTCTATGAATATGCCTGGGAGAATTTTTCTTCTTGCTTCAGTAAATAACTTGTTAACAATATATGCTGCTCTATGCCCATAAAGTATGTTGACTCGCATACAGGCTAGGAACCTAATATTTTTGTATCTGTGAAAAACAGATGGATCCCAAAATTCACATCTGTACCTAATCAGGCAGGGCTGAATCCTGCCTCGCTGCCAGCACTGGCCATGCGGAAAGGAAATACTCAAACAACTCACTCTGCAGCTCATCAGCACAGCATGTTGAACACACTTGGACTTCAGCAATCTCTTCCACTTCTAGTCCTGGAGCTGCCAGGAGCACCTGACTTCTGCAGACGCACAGTGGAAAAAGCAAGAAAAGGGAAAAACCCAAACCCAAATGGGAAGGAACACTGGTGTCTGTAAAGAGCTTGGGTAAATCTGCATAATAATGGAGCAGCTTAAAATTAGTATTGAAAAAAATAGAAATTACTAGAAAAGATTTAATCATAATCCTTTGAAAAACCTGAAGCAATTAGACAAAGCCAGAATTACCCACCATGTTGACAAAGGATTTGATGAATGTGCAGCTCAGCTTACGGAGACAAAGACACTGTGTAAGTCTATTGAGCCTAATAGAACTACTCCAAGGCTGGGTTTTGCTAGCAATGAATAGCAATAAAGAACCCCTTGTACCTCATGGATTACCTAAGATAAGCAATGTAAGCACAGTTCATTACCCAGTCCTGTTCAAGCTTATAGTCCTTCATTGGCCATTGCCTAGGGATCTTGGCAGGAAGAACAGAGCATGAGCAGTGATGGTGGTGCAGAGGGCATGGGCAGAACCTGGGATCTGAATGTTCCTGTGGATCTCACTGGGATGAGCTGGTGATTGGGTCTGAATGCCCCATTGCTGTTTCTGCTGTCCCGGATCAGGTAAGACAAGGTGTGAAACCTCTCAGGTGTAAGTTGCTTAATTAACAGGCTCTCCACTCTGAGTTGTGCTCAGTAATGGAGAACAACTCTGCATTAGATTTTCTCTTTCCATTTGTGACTCAGAGCCTGCTCTCTTACTTGTGGGTGCAAGCATATTGTGGGCATTGCTGCAGTCTGTCCAGATACTGAACCTTTACTGTTCCCAATACCTGCGGGGATGAGACTTTCACATGTGGATACAGAGAAAGAAAATAACCTCCACCGGGTGAAAAGAGGGAAAAGGAGAAAATGAAGTTCCAGCAGTTGCTTTCATACCCATTCACTGCACAGCTTTGGCATGGCATTTTACTTCTGTAACCTGAGGGTAGAACTATCGGCACTTACTGAAGTAGTAATATATTCAACATTTGTATTTCTTGAGTGCAGGGGACTGAAACAGAATTTCCAACACATGGACAGCTTCTGGACACCTCCGATTTGCAAAAGTTCAAACTCTGAGATTTTAAGTTAATAGGTTGGCAGAGATTAATGAAATTTCATTGTGTATTTTGATCTGACTGCTGTATTTCACTCCAGAGATCCCTCCTTGTGACATTCAGATGCAAAGCACCAAGTCAGGTGGTAAGAAATGTAAGCCGTGCAACTGGAAAAACACAAGAATTCAGTCAACCCTAGAGTGACAGGAATGGTTTGGTGATGGCTGGTATGACAGCAGCAGCAGCACAGGGAGTGGATTGTTCTTGTAACGAAGGAAATAAGGACCCGGATTAGCTTTTCCAGGACACAAGGCAGATGAACACAGTCACAGATATCATTGAGGGCTGAAAATTCAGAGTGGCTGCTAAATATTTTCTTCACATTCTTTCCCAAACAACTTTCAGCAATCTGACTTTAAGCTGTCTTGCAAGGTAGCAAGCTAAATTCCCTTTGTGTTCAAAATCAGGTCCTCTGGAACATTATTAATCTCACCTATTTTCAGTGTCTACATTATTATGAGAAGCATCTTATTATAAAAGTGCCAACCTCTGCCTCTCTCTCTGAGAATACAAGTTTGAGGCAATTACCTTGGATGCGGGGTGTCTGTTGCAGACATCTGACATTAAGGGAGAAGAAATCTATATCTCTTTCAGGTTTTTTCATTACACAGTCTTAATCTACCCTTCAAAGTAAAATACTTGCAAAATGAGCACCTGAGGAGGAGCTGTAGAAAGAAATGGAAACTTCAAGATAAAGTGTGATGGTTAAACCATCTTGCTTTGTATCAACATAAACATCTCAGTAATTGAGGACTTGAGGATTTGGTGACCAAAGAAGTATAACCAAGAGAGATGGGAATAGTTCCCAGTCTCTCTTTGCTTGTCAAAGACATTTGAGAATCAGATGGTAGTGCATAAGAATGACAGTTTGATTCTTACAAAGGAAACCCATTTACAGATTCCTGCTTCAGAAGGCATGCAGTCAGTTTTCCTGCTTTGCAGACCCAAGCATAATCATTTTGTGCATGCTGTGGGAGTCACTGGGTGCAACTCTGTCCTGTGATGTGCACCAGATCTCACTGGAGAATGTAATCCTCCTGCTCTGTGACCTGCCCACTGCACCAAATCTGTTGAAGCAGGGCTCAAGGGCTTCAGAAGTGGGCGACTTCCCAAGATGTTTCTGGTTTGCAAGGGAGTCAGCTCTGTAATGTAGCTTCTGCTGTAAGTGCTCCACAATCACCAAGAGGAGGATTCTTAGAGTAAAACCATCAGTGGCTTGTCATTAGTGTCATCTATACCCGTTGTTGCTATTTTGAAAGCCTTTGTTTCAGAGGCCAGAAGGCAGTGGGAGAGCCTCCTGCTGATGTTAAGCACAGGGGTTACCACAGGCATGCATGGAGACACCTGGTTCCCGATGGGAGAGGGGTGTCTGGCTGACTTCTCCATTGTTCTGCTGTATTTCCTCTAGGCTGATAAACAGAGATAATGGTATGGAAAGAACAAAGCAGATTTAGTTTTTCTGCATTCTTCTCTGCTTTATTGGATTTGCAAGAGTTTTTCTGCCATCCACCCACTGGCTTTTAAAACAGTTAATCTCATAAATATAATCTTGTATTATTGATGGAAGTGCTTTATCCTGATTTGGCAGGTCACATTGGTTCTTCATGTGAGTGTATGAGTGTGGCCTAAGGATGACACAGATTGGCATTCTGAATCATGTATGCACTGTCCTGAGCCTCAGTTGTTTCTTGTCTCTCCCACAGGAAACAAACAAACAGATCTCTTTTGAGTCTGGGGTGCAGTTCCTTAAATGCCTGAGCTGAAGTGACTGTGTATCCTCTGGGCTGATGCACATTCATGCTTCTGTGGAGGTCTTTGATACCTTGAGGGTTGGGCTTTGGCAGCAGAAGTACTGCACCAAGCTGCAGGTGGCAGGCAGTACTAAGAGAGACCTCAGGCTATTCCAGTCATGAGTGATGCATTGATTTATTCCCAGAGTAAATCAAGTAGAGTAACCAACCAATACATTTGCATAAGAGATGAGCATCTCTTTCATAACCTTCCTGGCCAGGGGGGGGATTTCTGCAACTTGCAATGTCATTCCTCTCTTCCCACCATCCTTTTCATTAAAAGTTCCATGCTCCATGTTAGTGGCATCCAGCTGATAAACTCAAATGCCATTCTTCTGGAGGATTCTAAATAGAACTGGTTTAACTCTCTTCAACTTGTCTCCAAATGAAATGCTGTGGTACCATGTCTTTCTGTCAGCTGTGCTCTTATGGTATTGGTTTCTGATGGTTTATTTGCAGTAAGTAGCTCATTATCAGTTCTCAGGGGTTTCACTGAACCCACTTGTATTCTTACTGAGACAGGAGGGGTATAAAGAAGGGAAAGCGAGCAGTGCACGATGTCATGTAAGCAACGTGGAGTCTGTGTATGCAAAAGACAAATAGTTTGGCTGTATTCAGATGCAGAGAAATTGCTGTCTGACAGAAGAGATGGGATGGTGAAGACTGAAAACAGAGGTTGGGTTAATTTCGTATTTGTGGCTTTCTGTTGGCCTACACAAACTAAATATAACAAACAGAATAGGAGGCAGCAAACTTGGAAGGACAAAGTAATAATTGCCTTTTAACCACCAACAAATGAGAAAAGATCAGTGTTCAAGTCCTGCTACCTCTGTGAATCACAGCAAACCACCATTCCCTTAAAGATACACAGGAGAGCTTTGCAAAATCTTCAAAGCTTTTTTCAAGGGAAAACAGTTACAAAGGAGTGAACCAGTGGCTGTTTCTAATGCTGCTTTGAGAAGTCCTTCCCACCCTTACGTAAGTCTGCTGCCTCTTTGCATCAGTTTCTCTGTAAATTCATAGCAACCTCAGGCTACCTTGGTCAGAAATGAATGTTTGCACTGAAGCTTTTTACTTTCCTGAAACACTTTGGGATGTAGCTTCTTGAAAGCACATCACTGTTCTAAAGCCTTTGGAAATGATGGCTTGTTTCCTGCAGTTCGCTGCTTTTGCACCATCTGGCAATTGAAATCTTCTCATCACCAAAGAGGTTTTAGAAGGCAGAATGCAGCCACACTTGTCATTCAGACTAGGTCTGATGGGGTCAGCCCTTAGGAAACATGATTAAAACCTTTGAGTAACCTTCACATTCATTCAGTCCCTGACGTGGGTTTTGTTCTTCAGGCCTTGTCAGGAAGAGCAGGTATTTGATGGCTACCTGCTATCCTGGTGGTGTAGCCGTTAGCAAGCCATTTAGTTACTCCTGGTGATATTGTTTCTAAACACTCGTCCGTTGCCAAATGAACTGACAGAAAAAGTGTTCGGTAAAATTTGGTGGTGTTCAACTCCGGGATAGCTTCATAAAAGTAATAACTCACATGCTGTTGCTATGTGAAGTACCTCACACCAGTCTCCAGCCTCTTCAGTGTATGGTGATGACCTGTGTTCCATCCCGCTGTGTTTCGGGCTGCTGGCTGCCTGGAATACTGCTGTCTGTATTAGAGAACTTTGTGTTATCAGACTGCAAAGCAGGGCCTGGGATTACTGGATGGCTGTAAAAGATTCTGCTGGTTTTATTGTTCTCAGGGTGGAACCTGCGCTTACCCGCATCAAAGAAGATCGAAAGCGGATCATCCTGCCAGCAATTGACAATATCAAGTACAACACTTTCGAAGTGCAGCAGTACGCCAACGCAGCCCACGGCTATAACTGGGGCCTCTGGTGCATGTACATAATCCCGCCACAGGACTGGCTCGATAAAGGGGATGAGTCAGCTCCCATCAGGTAAATCTCCCATGTGCTGTCATTTCGGTACAAGCAATGCTTCCATCTCAGCTGTCTGTCGGGGGGGGAGTTGAAGTGAAGCAAGGCTATAGGTGTTGTACAGGGATAGCAAAATGGAACTGAAGAAAACAGATGGCTCTACAAAGCTGTGGATACATGTGTTACATCTCTGAGTTGCATCACAGAAGTGCATGTGCTGTAGCTGTAAATGCATGGTTCAAGTTGGAACTAGAGGGGGTTGGAAGTAGATGATCTTAAGGTCCTTTCCAACCCTAACCATTCTATGATTATAAAGTCCCATTGTAGCCCATAGTAGGACAACAGCATATTTTCTAACAACTATTCTTTTAGTTTCCAATGGAGTCTGGCCTGACTAATAAGCCAGTGAAACACTGTGTGTATGAGAAACAAAACTACACGACAGGTTTACTACAAGACAGCACAGTCCTTCATCACTGACCCTTTGCTCAGCTTGAAACCTCAGTAAGCAGGAAAATAATTAATAAGACAATCAGTTTTCCTGGATAACGTGCCCTGGTCTCCTTACATTGTTTTATATCTATTTCACTTAGCCCTGAGAAAGAGTTTATTGGTGAAAGATCAGCCAAAGCTTTTATTCCTGAAATCAGGGTTTTAGTCTTCTATTCCTGAAGTTTTGCACACTTCACAACTTCCAGTTTATGTTTGAAATCACTGCATCATTTTCCATATGAGTTGTTCTAGTATTCAGGTATCTTCTGTTCTGGAGACAATGATCACATATCAGATAAAACTGAACTAAGAGGTTAACCTCAGCAAGTTCTTAGACATGAGTTTCAGTGGTGGTAGCTCAAAGCATTCCCTGAAGTACAGAAGCTTCATCTGCAAAACACTTCTGGAAATGGAACTACAGACCTTTTTAATGGAGAGTAAGGAATGTCATCCCTGTAATGGGATAACAGGTTTTATTCAGCAATACAGGGCCTGATTAACCATGGGCTTTCTCAGGCTTATGTTCAAGCTCTTGCTGGAGTTGTACTGGCACTGAGTGGGCTGACACAGGAGTGAGTAAGGTCCACACTTACACAGTGAGTGATGTTAAAATCTGATGCACATAAGTAGCTGGCTCCTGAGAGCAGCAATTTTATTCTGAACCCAAGTGAAGAAACCCTCCAATTAAACAGTGCATAAGCTGCTCAGAGACAGATGAAACAAGCAGCACAAGGAGGAGAGTGCCCAGCCCTTGCTGACAAATATCAGGAGCACTGAGATGCTGTGATTACATAAGTGTCTCTCCTGCAAATTATGAATTACATGCCCTGAAATGCAGAGACACCAACATTGAACCATGAACACTTGTCTCCCTGGGAACATGTGCTTTGAAGGCAGCAATCTGGGAGGCAAAGTATCCACTTCTAGCCACACTGCACTGATTCCTGATGGGCCTCCGAAGCAGCAGCACCTGGGTAGATTTGCTAGAGCCTTTGGCTGTGCTGTCGTGTTATGCCTGCCTATAGAAATACAGTGCAATTCTGTGGCTTTTAAGTGATATGCCAATGTAGTTATGGTAATGGAAAGAGCGAACGTGCGAGTATTGTTGATGAAAAGGTTCAGGAAATCTATACTTGAAATTGAGATTTGAAAGCATCCATGATGGGAACTTAGTAGCTGTAGAAAATTTAATGTATACTTTCAGAAAGAAGGGGAATTCAGACTAGTAAGAAAACCTTTCCAGAAATCTCAGGTTTGGCACACATTTTGGTTTCGTAACCAGCTTTTCAAACCGTGAACTGCAACCTTGACTAGTCTGTGTCAGTCTAGTTTGCCAGACATGCAAACTGGTCCACACCGAGGGTGTTTGTTCACTGTGTCTGTTCAGTATGTTCATAAGATTGCAGGGCCATTCATCAGCATGAAAACTGCAAGATCATTTAGTCCTTGGTACACTGTCCCTCTTAAGGCTTCCTTTGTCTCCAGCAAGTAGTGGGTTTGTTTTCTGTCTCTCTGTGTTTTGTAGAAGAAAAGCTAACAACTAATAACCCCATGAATAGCTTTGGTAGTGGGGTAGCTGAATACTTCCTCCCAGATCTCCAAAGGGATTAAAGATTGTCAGTGTGAAAAAAAAAGCGCTTACCCTCCTATCAGTGTGGATCAGAGCCCTGGCATTTCTGATGTTTGAATTGTATGAATGTCATCGATCTGCAGAATTGGGTAAGACTTTTAGAAACTAGAGTCCAATCCGTGTTTTATGCTGGGATTACACAACAGATGTGCTTACTTGTCTCAGAGGTTTTTCTATTTAAAGCCTGATCCTCTGCTTGCTTGAACACTTAACAGCGGTGTGATCCTACTCAGAGCCTTGCTGGGAAGGAGCGGGAACTATCCTTCCAGTCAGTGGGGCACCCTATAAGCAGTCATGTCAAATGCACACCATAAAATGTCACATCAACTATTGTGGTCCAAGTGACAGAGGGGATGTGGCCTTGAAGTGCAAACAAAGGTGAAAAAAATAGCAAGAACAGAGTGTCAGATTTGGTAAGGATTTCTGATGCTGTTTAAAGTCAGTTCTTATTTTCTTCCCACATTAATACTCTGAAATTCAGAACAATTGATGTTCCCCGAGTCGCCTTCTGCAGGCAGTCATTTTCATGTTTGACATTTGAGATGTAAGATGTCTCTAATGTGAAGATTTAAATGAGGATTGTTATTTTGACACACTGTGTCCATCACATCATCTTCCATTTGTGTTCCTGAGAACACACTGCCCAAACCCGTCCTTATCATCTGGCAACAAACTGTGTAAGAAAGGATTCCTATTTCAGAGGGTTTCTAATGAATTTGACTATGCATTGAAACAAGCTGGGTTTTTTTCTATGTGGAGAAAATGCTACTGGCTGTTGAGACAGCAAGGAAGGTTTCTGGTATCCTGAGCTCTGGCTGTGGCTCATCTTCCTTCACCTGCCGTGGTTATGAGGGACTGCTCTGTGTTTTGATTTCTTGATCAGCAGCCAATAACATCAGAGACCTCAGTCAGCCTCACTCAGCCAAGCACTGCACATCTTTCCAGTTTATCTTCCTATAGCAGCAGTGGTGCATTTCATTGTTTCATATGTTCTCACTTACTGCTTTAATATGCCATAGCTGGCTGCCAGTAGGAATGTGTATGTACACACACTGGATCAGGTGCTCCAGAAAGCACGTGTATCTTGCTCATGGATATAAATTAGCACCTGATGCATCCTCAGTGAGATGCTTTGTGCTGCCTGCTTCAGCTTGGAGCGTGCATGCCTTCCTCATGTGCAAGTCAGGCCCCATGCTGGTCTGTGTAGAGATGGTGGTGCAGCTGTTATCCTGGAAACTGGACTTGTTGTATGCTCTGAAAACTCTTTCAGATGTGACACGATTACAGGTACATTGACCTTAAGGCAGAGGGAGAAAGATGTGAAGGGGAGAGGAAAACTTACCGTATCATGTGCATTATGTCAGTCTGGTGCTCATCCCTTTCTTCTTCACTTGCTCTTGGTGAAGCTTCCAGGCAACATCCCTCAGTTGTCTGTAAAGGAGGGGGATGCACCTCTCTAGGGAAATGAGTGTCGGAGTTCTGCCAAAGCCTGTTGGAGTTCTGCAGGCAAAGCTGTGTTCCTGGAGATCTTCCTAAAGTGAAACAGTCGGGATGCAGGCATATAGCAAGTGGCTTTCATTTCTGGCCATGATGTCTTCTCTTTCTGGTACCCATCCCATAGCAGGCACTGCCCTCTTCCATAGGCTGCCTCTCTTCCCTCATAGCCACCTTCCTAAAAAGAAAGTGCATTAGTTAAGGGAGAAGGTCCTTTTACATAAAGCAAGTGTGGGTTAGGTTAATACATTCTGCTCTGAAGTTTTGAAGTGCTGAGGCACACACCTTCTCATTTGCTGCCCCATGGTTAGTGAGCAGGGCTTAAGACATACTAACCCAGTTGCTTTTTGCTCATATGTCCATGTCTAACTTTCAAGGGAAGGCTTTCCTGTGCTGTACTGAAGGTGCTAGATACACTGGAGTTCTTCAGGTCCTGGAAAACCCAGTGATGACAACAAGTGAGGGGATTTTTAGGGAGCAGGGGTGATTTTTAAGTGTTTGTGGTATGTAAATGTAACCCTGTAGTCCAGTATAGAATTATCCCCCTGTATGCTTAAAATGATCTTAGAAGTAAATCTTCAGCTTTTAAACTGCTGAAGCAGTTTTCAGACTTTACCCAGTATTAGTATGTGTGCTTCACAGATGCAGAAACAGAGGCAGAGGGAGGTGACTCACTGAATGACAGCGGGGAATAGGGTCAGGGTCCACCGGCTCACAGCGCTGTTACCAGCTCACTGGGCTCTGCAGTCACATTACACTTGGCTTGCAGCTGGGTCACTCAAAGCACAGGGATGTCCAAAACTGGTAGAGCCTGATGGAAGTGTTGAACATCGGGTATGCAGAAACCTCAGCACTGTGCATCGTAGGCAGGTTTTTCCATCACATCAGGATGTTGCCAGGGCAGAGCCACAGGCATCTCAGTTCAGTTGCTGTGGTTGCAGCCATGCTGCTGTGCAGAGCAGTGGCAGCAGGCAGCCAAACTCAGGTAGCAAAAGGCAGTGACAGTGGCAAGTTTTGATGTGGTTCCTCCTGCCATTGCATTGGTATTGTTGCTCATTCCTGAAAACATTTCCTTTTTCTTCTGAATCAGCCATGAAGGCTTGTGGAGCCTGTGTTTGAATAGGTCTAATGAGAAGAAATAACAGCTAGAAGAGAGAGGGAGACACAAAGGCAGTCCTCGGTGGCATTCCACTGTGAGTGATGATTATGCAGTTACATCTAAAATCTATTTCCCACCCCCATTCAATTAACAAGTCAGTGTTTTAATGGTCAGAGCCGACAGCTGCAAAAATCCATTCCCCAGAGGGAGATTTCAGCACCTGAGAGCAGTCTGCAAAGCCTGACTGTACCGTTCCTCATTAGGAAGGAAAGAGAAACGGCCTCATGGGAGCATCCTACTGCTGTAAGGAGCTGCTTCCAGAGGATCTGGGGAGGGAGGGCCTGGAAAGCCCAAACTAGCAGCTCAGTTTTGCAAAGCAGTGATACTCAGGCCTTCGTCTAGTGAAGCCTGTGTTTTGCTTTAAATACATCAGCAGGAAAATGAAGAAAGTGTCCTGTGTTTCTCCCCCTCACACCCCCTTTCTTTACCATGGTTGACACTTAAGAAATACCTAAATATTCCCTCAGAGACTTACTTTATTTCACAGCCACTGAATTCCCTTTCCTTAGTCATGTCCTTCTTTTATTTCAATTTTTATACCAAATTTATTTCTTGGTAGACAAAAATATGGTTGTCAGTGATGGCGGATGTTCCAGTGGGATCCATGTTGGATATGTCTGGTGCTGAGCTCTCAGCCTTTTTAGGCAAGTCTGCCTTCAGATATGGTCTAGGAGCTGTAAGCAGGAAGATGCATTTTACCAAATAACTCGAATCTTTAAATGCCATCCATCCTGCAAAGATCCTGATTTATAAATGTATGCATCAACAGAAGATGGAAGCGGTGGTGACCCTGCTGCAGTGTCTTTGTAGGGTTTGTGACATGTGGCCTCAGTTTCCTCCAGCCTTGTTGACTGAATGGGTGCAGGGGTCTGGCTGAGAGATCCGCTTGAGTCCAAAGTCATCTGCAGCAACAGATGCTTGCCTTTGTAACTGCCATTGAATTGTGTCCCCTCAGCTTCTGATCCAGGGAATGTATCTCGCTCTGTAAGGGTGGAACATGAGAGTTATCAAGGTATTTCAGCTTCTTTGTCAGAACAGTGCCAATCAGATGTGTTTCTATCAACAACTGCCTTTTTCAATTATGCAGCGAAAACATGAGAGGGATAGTGTGCACCGCAGCATAGGCTTGTAATGATCTGAGTGATTGCAATGGCTTTCATACTGAGAAAGGGAGATGCTGAAGCAGTACCAGTAATGTGAGTGCTACAGCAGAGCCCATTACAGGTAAGTACTTCATCAAATGAACCTTTTCAAGGGTACCAAACAGTTCCTGCCCTAGGCTGGGCTGTGTTCTGCAATGCTGGGGTGTGCATTAGGCCCAGGGGCAGAGAATTGTTTTCTGTGACCATACCTTGGCTGGTTATTTTCAAAACCTCTTTAACCTCCTCCTGTAGAAGTGGTGAGCTGCTGATGAGAGACAGGGCCTGGTGTGATAACATCGTTCCAGCAGCCACCTGCTGCTACCGGGGGATCCATGAGTGAAAAATGGGGTCATTTTCTCAGCCAGGGCAGTTTTTCACATGTGTATGAACCTGCCTCATCAATAGTTTCTCAGATGTCAGGGGCAAACACCTTGCGAATGGCTTTCTGTACAAATTGAAGAAACAGGCAGGTATCTGGGACAAAAGAGACTTGATAGTGACAGTACACTGTGCATTACAAAGGAGACTTCTTAAAATAGGGTTTAGACCTTTTCCATCATCTTTGTTTCCTTAGGGCCTTTTCATGGTGTATATATGTAAGCCTGGGCCATAGATCAAGCATTCTGTATTCTACTAGAAAATAGGTATAAACTGGATTTTTCCTGATGTCTTTTTACAATAGCACCATTAGGAATGATGTTGTATCTGCCAGATGGCCTAAAAATCAGCTCCCTTTCAATGCAAGAGGGAGCACGGTTTTCTTTTACGACAGCTCCAAAAGTGTTCCTTTTCTCAAATGGCACTACAGTTTCCCTGATTCAGCAATCTGGCCTGTCAGGATCCTGCTAAAATGGGGGGTCTGCCTCCAGGGCCTTGGTATGTCCCATAGATGTGACTGCAGGATAGCTACCCATAATCTTGCAGTCGGCACTATGCAACCTGCAGCTGTGTTGCAAGTCAAACCTGGAGCTGCAGGCTCTTGTTTGGTTTTCCACCTTAAAGTTAGTTAATTATATTTCTTGACTGTGGGCTATGGTAGGAAAACGTAGCTCCTATCTTGAATTTTGAAGATGCAGGTGGTGTGACTAAACCAGAGCACATGAAAACTGCAGATGTCACTGGCTTGTATTGCATTGAAATAATGCTTGTGTTCCTATAGTAAATGATCTCAAAATCCATTGTCATGTAGTGCTGCTCATGTCACGCTCAGTGACAGGTTTCAGATTGCTTTGTAAAGGAGAGCAGAACCACAGTTTTAAACATACAGAAATTGATGCTCAGAGAGGGGAAATGATTTATGTGAAATCACCCAGTTGGTCTGGGGGCAGAATCTCTTCATCTGAAAATTCTTCCTTTTCTGAAGGCTGACCTCAGCAAAGGCAGAAATGTTAATCATGGAACAGCTTCACAAAGGCTGAAATTTATCTGCCAGAGTTGACTCCAGAAGTCCCTTGCTGGACTTCATTCCATGATTGATGTATGGCTCTTGACATGCACTTACTTTTAATATGTGGGTACAGGACTTCTCTTTTCTGACAAAGCTCATGGGGTTTTCTTGTGTGCTAATCTTCAAATGAAGCGTTCTCTCGTTCTTGTGCTACTCTGTATGGTGGTGAACTTCAGCTCCAGCACAGAGGTTGTGCCTATAAAATAAAGGAAAAGCAGCCTGATGCTTCACTTACATGCCCAGAGAACTTGACTTTGCATCTTGTCTGTCTCACAGGCATCTGGTCCAAGTGTGCCTGACACTGTGCTAGTTGTTTAAGTTGGCTCTGGTCCCACTAGATCCTCTGTCCATTGGGGGATGAAGTGGAATGTGATTGCACACTAATAGATACCTTTAAAATGTAAGCTGGAAGACTAAGAACTGTTCTGCCTGTGTACATTTGTTATGACGTGGGTTCTGTGGTAGCTAATAAGGAACCTAATTTCTTGCTGTAATCTCTCCATGCAGGACACCAGCCATGATTGGATGCTCGTTTGTAGTGGACCGAGAGTATTTTGGTGAGATTGGCTTGCTTGACCCTGGTATGGAGGTCTATGGAGGAGAAAACATTGAATTAGGCATGAGGGTGAGTAACAAAGAAGAGACACTGTGCCATCTCTTATTTGCAAATAGAGACATGAAGCTGTGGCCTAGCAGAATAAACTGTTAGGTACACTAAAGTAACTGAGATTGCAACACTGTCTGGTACTGACAGTCCTGGTAAATGAATATTCCTGGCCTTACTGGCCTTGAGAGAACTGATGTTTGTGGTCTGGCAGATGCAGCACCAACTGAAACCTAAGGCCAGGCTGGTAGGACTCAGTTCTAATGTTCTACATAGCATGCATGATGAATGCTGTGGTATTTTAAAGCTTTCAGGCTCCTCCTTATAGACTTAAGGAGTTACAGGTATTCGATCCTGTCAGGTAGGTAAGTGCAAAGTGTGGACCAATGACTTTGAGACAGCACGAGTCCACCCTGTGCTTCTGGACTTCTGGGAGGTTTGATACTTGTGATCCTTTGCCCTTGTTTTTAAGGTGGTACTTGCCAGCAGGTCCTTCTGAAGTCCAAGGAACATGGCTTCGCTTAGCACTTGGGAATGAGGCTACTTAATGTTGCATGAACACAGTTTCCTCATTATAAAGCTGACTGTTTAATTATTTTTCCCTTACTCTTTATTCCCTGCTTCACAGTAACACGTCCCTGGTGCATGTAATGTGCTCATTAAAGCATATATTCTGCTCATGGTGAAACACTGAGCATCAAATTAGTCCATTCTTTATCTGACTCTTTTCTTCTAAAATTACTACAAACTCCTTCACACCAGTGGGCTGAGGAAGAAGGTCATTGCAGCAAGAGTTTGTTTTCACATATGGGTGTGTATTTATTATTCCAGCATCACAAGAGGGATAGGGTTTGTAATGGGGCTGTGTGAATACACTGCTTATAGTTTAAGGTGCAGAATTCACATAGGGGACAGAAAAACTGCTCCCACAAATCACCCAATTTCCCTTAAGAGGGTCAGGCTATTACCAGGATTGTGTGAGCTTTCCTTTATCATTGTGCAGGGCTTTGAGCTGTTTGAAACTTTTTCCACATGGCTGCTCCCAGAATAGATTGAACACTCTGGCAAAACTCTGGCGTAGCTGATGAATAAGCCTCCTTAGAAACCTGAACGCTGTCGCTCTTCCTTAGGCGAGGAGAACTTGCTGAGTACAATTAGGGCTCCTGGTAAACAGAGGCAAAGGTTTTAATAGGATTATGAAATGGCACTTGTTTGAAGAGACAAGGATTTGGAGTGATTGAGGGCAGGATTTCAGGGGTTGGGAACCTGTTAAAGTCTGCAGAAACCTGGGATCGAGAAAACAGCTCTCATTCTTTGTAGGGTTTTTCTGTTGTGGGGCAATGGCAGTGTTGGGGGTTTGCCTTATAAAGCGTAATTAACCCTGCTGTTAAAAGGCTGTATGTAAGTACAGGATTATGAGTGAGTTCATTCTGAAACAAGCTGTATGTCCATAGCATGGATCTGTTACTCTGTTTTCAGCCTGGATCTAGCAGGGTGAGTAATATACAGTGTCTGCCTCCTAATTTGCAAGTCCTGTGCGTGATCCCCTCCTGTGTGTCTTTCAGAGCTGTCAGAAACTAACAGTGTGAAAATGCACAGGAACCTTCTCCCTTCTCTGTAGGATATTTATAAAATCACTGTGGATTTTTTAACTCCAGAATCTCAAAGTCAGTCACAAAATATCCCTCATTTCCCAAGGCCTGGCTGCACTGACCCACGCAGAGATATTTGGCGTATCCCTACACATGCACAGAGGGATGCTGGTGCCCATGGGTGATTCTTCTTGTGTGGAGCAATGAAACACAGAAAAGGGAAGGAATGAATGCATGAATGAATAAAGATCAAGGAATAATATAAGAAATAGTAAAATGTGGGGAAGTGGTGGCACTGTTTGAAGACAGCCCCTATTTAAAATAGCTGTAATAATAATCCTTTAATTTTTTTTTGCATACTATTATCATGTTACTACTAAAAGAAAAGGGATTAGGTTTGGAGTGTCTGAATGATATTACATTGCAATTAATGAACCTTCATTTAAGTTGTTTTAATAAAGTGACACAGGGAGAGTTGGTGAAACTGATGAGCTGATTTGGGAGGATACTGTTTGATAACACAGCTAATCCCCCTTAAATCTATTGTTTATTAAAATATCATCATCTTGGGTATTCCACTGTTGGCTTTTCCATCTAAACTCCATAAATGGAAATATTTAAATAATTAGCCTGAGTGATTTTCTGTATTGACAAAGCAGTATATAAACTGACTGGAGCTACCACATCTATTGAAAATGCTTAGGGCTCTACTGTTCTTTTTTATCTCATTTTATGAGTAACTTTCATATTGGTTAGAGCTGTGACATTCTCCCAGTGGAGTAGCTTTGCAGTGAAGCCAGTGTCTATTTGCCAGGCTCAGGAGATTCTGGTTTGGCTGAGAAAAGCACCAGCTGTTCTGGGAAATGAAAGGGAGATGGACATGATTGCAGGCTTGTGATAGTGAGGAATAGATGGACACTTATCTAATGTCATCTTGTACTGTATTTTTCAAAGATGACAGTTTCAGTGGAGGATGGATAAATACAGGACTGAATTCTGTTATGGACAAATGGTGCTATTCTCTGTGTGTTCACCAGCCAGCCACCGAAGTTGATGGGAATTGTCTGTGAGCACCTAAAAGCTGATTTTGGCCAGGAATTTATGAAGTCAAATTGTGGCTGACTCCTCTGTGGATGAGGTGCCCTTCACAAGCACAGGCAACTTGGTTTCTTAACTGCATTCAGGCACGCATCACACTGCTGCTCTGCCTCCTTGTATCCTGGTTTCATTCCAGCTGTGGTTCACCTCCCAGCCTGTAGGCAGAGAGGAAGAAAAGCAATGGTACTTTCTCCTGCATCAAAGCTGTGGGATGTGTCTGTGCCTGAAGAAGACACCCTGAACTCAGAATAGATCATGTTCATCTTTGCTGCTCCTTGACATCAAATGGTCTTTCTGACCTGTAGAACAGAGAGATGTCCCAACAGTTAGAGAAATTGAAGCAATGCTTGAGGTGACTGCAGGGATCCCTTTAAGTGAGGGTCGCACATTATGACCCTGTAAGAAATTGCATCATTTGCAAGTGTCATGAAAGTTCCTTTCCTAGTGGGAGCTACAATAAACTTAATTATTTAGAAGGTGATCATATAAACATTAAAAGCCTAGTTTATGATTTAACCTAATACAATCAGTTTACGATGCATCTTTTTATAGTGAGTCATTAATCATTGCACTAAGGATCTCTCTCTTCCTCTGGTGCTCTAGTGATAAGGTGAATGAATTGCTGTTCATTTTATTTTGTACCCATCAACTGTAATGGTGGGTGGGAAGAGATCAACCATTTATTTTAAAGGATGCTCCAGGACAAATTAAATTCTGCTTCCACCATTAAGAATCCAAACAAATTAAATAAAAAATACATTACCACACTGACAACTGAAAGCTAAGCTTTTTCTCTTTTATGGCTAGCATCAACTGGCAGCGCTACTGTCTTCTTAGTAGCACTGTGATACACCTCAAAGGAGGGAATCTGCATCAGCTGATGAATGAGTGTTAACTCAGGGATTTGAAACCCCACAACCAAACCACAAAACCAGTGCACTCACAAACTGCTGACTTACCCAATTTGAGGTATCTTAAACCTACTGCTCAAGAGGTCCTGGCCAGAGGAATCAGTTGGAGATGTCCCCAGGTACGCGTGTGACAAATCATCTCTATGGAATTCAAGTGACAACTTAGTGCTTATGGCTGTTTGTGACTTTGGCTCATGCAGATGTGTCCACAGTAACTTTGGCAAGTTTTGGGAGCTGGCAGTGTTACAGTACAGTTCATCGGGCCTGAAAAGAGCTGCCTGACAATGGGATAAAAGCTTGGCTCGTTTGCGCTCTCTGCTGTTGCGATTACCTCACTGTGGTGGCCAGGCTGCCTGGCTGAACTCGGGCATGGGCTGTGTGTATAGAGATGCAGTCCCACCTCTGGGCTAGGCAAGGAATACTGTGTGTCCTGTAAAAAATCATGGTGCAGATTCATTGAACTCTCAAAATGGGGAAATGAAAGTCGTTACCCAGCACTTGCATGCACAAGCAAATCACTGTACTCTCCAAACTTATGCTTTATGGCCCAGCTTTACTTTCTTTACAACCAGATGAGCTGCATTTTCTCCAAACAGAAGTGCTAATGGTAGATTGTTGAGTAGTGAGTTCTTGACCTGATTTTATTACCTTTAGCTAAGGAGATTTAGATTTCTTTGAGCAGTCAGTGTTTTAAATGCAGATTCTGGACTGATATGCTCTCATATTGAGGTCCCTTCCAATCTCTAACATACTGTGATAATAATGTCACAAGGCTTATGTATAGCAAACTTTAATTCCCAGTTCTGGACAGTGCTTTTAACCCTGTGTGACTTGTGAGGCCAGGCTCCCAGCCTTAGAGCTAAGTAGGGGCCCCAGTCTGGAGAGATTCTCAAAATGACAGGGGTTTTGTGACATGCTGTGGTAAAATACAAGTGAAAACTGTACAAAAATACAGCTGAATCAGAATGTCTTATTTCAGTGAATCAAAAACCTTCATTGGTATCTTGATTGTCATTTTTAGTAACATTAATTTGGTTTCAAATGAGAAGTTTTAAAAGAAAGTGGTTTAGTTTGAAGAGGTTCAGTTGTTCAAATGATGTTAACAAAATACACAATTGGTGACATCTGAAATAGTAGTGCACTCTGTCCTTGGACATGCCTGCTCACACTGGAGTGTGATAAATCTGTCTTTTCAGCATGAAGTTAAATGCCATTAAAATGCTTCTGACCAGTTATGCACTGAACTCTGCCCTGCCTAAGCAAAATCCTTATAAGAATGTAATCTTCTGTTATTGGCAGTTGCCCTATCATAGGCTGCAAAGATCTCTGTGATAAATATCCCAGGTCTCACCTGCCAGATAAGCCGTGTAAGTGAGAGTGTCCTCTTTTCCAATTCCAGATTAATTTAACATTTTGATAGGCATTTTCTAAGGTAAAAGAATGTTAAGCTTCTAAAGTCAAGCATTAAGAAATCATGAAAGGATTGAATTCATGGTGCCTGGATTACATTAATTCACAGCTCCTTTTCCCCTTCAAAGTAGGGATTGGAATATTCTGTTCTAAGGTGATGTGCCTGTAAGATGAGCCAGGTCCTCAGCCCATCTAAATGTTCAGCATCTTTTAATTCCAGCAGAGTTTCATTGATTCAAACAGGATGAGATTAGGCTTGACATTTCTATATAGCAATAATGCCTTGTGTCTGGAAAAGGAGACAGGCTTAGTTGTGAGGACACTCACACAGGCATTAAATCCTAGGCTGCTGAACCCTGGAGTGTCTGAAGTCACCGTGAATCACTGCTGCCCCATTGCCAAAGTGTGTGAGTGCCAGTAACTGTACTAACAGCTTGGAGAAAGCTGTTAGCAGCTCTGGTTACTCTGGTCCTGGCTTTGCAGTTGCATCCTCCCTTAACTGGTGCTTGTGCCTTCATGCAGTGAACCAAAGAGATGCGCTGCTGTCAGCAAACAAGGAAGCCATGTAAAAGCAGATGAAGAGGACAGGCTGAATTCCGTGTGACAGCTAGCGCCAGGGTTCACATTGTGACATCAGCCATGATTCAAACTGGAGGATTTTCCTTGTAAAAGGTTTTCCCATAGGAAAGAGAAGGATGTGAAAATGGGCACTTGGCCCACTCCAGTTAAGTTGGGGTGCTGGGGTTTTTCTCTGCCCAGACCATTTACATAGTCTTTAATTGTACTCTAAATGGGACACAGAGTCTTGCTTCTGGATTGATAATCCAACTGCAACCTGGCTGCAATTTCCTTGAATGACAGTGTGCCTTTTTTCTTTATATTTTGATTTTTATTAAATTGAAGATAACTGTAACCTTGAATGAAAAGCAGTGGTTTTATCAGAACACGGTGCAGTGGTGCTCTAGCATGAAATTGCCAGCAAAGTGTAGGACTAGAATTTGTGAACACCGTTAAAACCACTCTAAATTGGGAGCATTGGAAATAGCTCAGGAAAGAGCATCTGGCCATTTGGCTTCAATATCACATCATGCTCCATGGAGTGAAACATTTTGTGTTACAAACTCTTTCATGTACTAGGACATTATAAAAGCACAAGGATGGAAATTTCAGAAAGAGATCAACAGTGAAAGAACTGGAGAAAGACAATGTTTCCTTACTCTTTGCTGCTTTCTTTTCAGCCACTTCTCTGCAGGTTTAGTCTACATCTGACACAGGTTCCTCTGCAGTGGCAAGTGTGAACTGAGAGAGAGAGGAAAAAGGCACGGAAGGCGACTGTGCTAATTGCATTGAGATTGAAATAAGCTTCACTTGCCTAATGATGAGACTGAACCAGAAGCCTAGAGATGAGCTACAGCTGGTCAGAAACTTTCTCTTATAACATGTTTTCTGTTGCAAAATGACAGCTCATCTAGAACTCCAAATGTTCTGTAGAACTCTACATTTTGATGTGGGTTACCAAAAGCCTGGGTTGGGCTGTTGTGTACCCAGAGGTGAGCAGCCAGCAGTCTGCTGGGTCCAGCACACCTGCAAAAGGCCAACTTTGAGGTTTTTGGAACGATCTTTTTCAGAACTCTTACAAAAGTGCTGTGGAAGACATCATTTTTCCACTCAAAAAATGAAATGCAGAAGTGTTTGTGTTGCAGGATGCTTGTGTTGCAAGATGCCAGCTGTTCCCAGAGCAGGGAGATGCCCATTTGCTAATTGACCTTTTGATTAGCTCCCCAGGTTGTTCTTGTTTCTCTGGGGAGGAGAGGCTTTATCTGACCCTCTACTAGGTATAAAGGGCTCTTAGGATGGCAGGAGTTCTTTCAGTCTGTCCTTCTGCAGTTAGAGCAAAGAAGTGTGTTGTGTGTGAAGGTTCCATGACTCAGACCAGCAGCCTGGGTAAGTCCTGGAGAAGCAGCCTCTGGATGTGGGACCCATAGTCCAAACTGCTTTCCTTGGCTGTGGCAAGGCTCCTGTATGTGGTTGTGTGGCTGGAGGGTTTTCCCAGATCCAGGCAAACCGTCTCATGTGGGAAAATGTACCTTAGAGGTGAGATTTCCAGGATGTTCCATTCTGGAGTGCAGGGCCTGGAGATGGATCGTAAGCATTGAGATATATAACTTGCCATCTGTTGCTGAGGTGTTACCCGTGTAGGAAAATTCAAGTCACCATTATTTATGATGCCAAACAGGGGCATGTAAATCCTTATTCCTGGCAGGTGGAAGTGTTCTTCCTGTGTGAGCATGAGGAAGACAGAGCTGATCTTTGATGAGATGTGGGATTTAGGTTGTTTTCTTTTAATTCTGCCTGGAAAACTTTGGGAGGTAATAGAACATTTTTTACTGTATGTTTTGCAGCCTGCTAAAGAAATGTCTACCTGACTAATAACAACCATTGCAATAGCGTTGCCTCACTAGAGCAAAGCATGTTGAGCTGCCCTGTGTGACAGGTACCTCTGAGCTGAGGAGCAGGAACAGGAAGGAATAATGCATGTACCTGTTGTCGAATGAAGGTTCCCTCCTTTGGTGCCAAAAACTTGCATCATTATCTGCACTGTGTGTAGCACTCAGAAAAAAAAAGGCAATTTAACACTTTGTGCGAAAGAGACAAGCAATTTCCTTTTAGGGCAGCATCTGTTTAGCCACCAGTGAGAAGGTTTTAATGCAAGCCGCCTATAAATTTGGTTTTACTAGTCTGTGTAGTGCAATGGGAATACCCACAACAGAGGAGCCCCCAGACAAAGTGACTGTGTTGTATACCAAGGAATACTGAGGGTTACTCACCAGCTTGAGGAGTCTGTTTCCTACCCTTCCTCTTCAGTTTGCCCATCTGCTAATGGCATTATCAGCTCTTCTTACTTGTTTTGCAGTTAATGTTTCAGAAAGGCATCTGTTGGCCAGGCACCTTGCAGAGAGGTGGCGGGGGGGAGTGTGTGTGGGCATGATGGGCGTTTAGCACAGAGTCAGAACAGCAAGCAGGTGAGTTGTTCATCTGTTGCCACCTAATATTCCTGTGCAAGTAAACCCTAAAATGGTTTCTCAAGCTTGGCTTAGTGTTATGATCTTGTCCTTTTTGGTGTTGGTGGCAGTGAGCATTTTGCTTGCTCATGTTGTAGGAGGACACCCGTGGTCAATTGTCCAAACAATAGCAACAGAACTAAAAGCTCATCCTGCAGAGGTTCATTTCCTTTAACTCGGTGCCCTTTAAAAGCTTTGGGGGAATGTTTCATGGCAGTGTTTTGGAGCATGTGTGCAGTGGAACACCTTTAGATCACACTGGCTGCCAGGAGCTGGGAACTTGGTAATACCCATTTACCGTATTGTTCTGCACTTTTTGTCATCATTATTTTGGAGCCGAATTCCTGCTCTGTTTCTGCGTGAGTAAATGAAGTCATTCCCATAGGGAAGGAAGGAAAAGAAAACAAAACCCAATAGCATATCTCAAAAAAACTATTATAAGTCTCCCTGAAAAAGTTCCAAGATTCTCTCTCAGATTTTGTTTTGTGCATAGTTAAAATAGGGAAACAGGTTGGATGAAATGCTTTATTAGCACCTTCATTGTAACTTAGAACTCCATATGTAGTTGCGTTGGTTGCATACTGCAGTTAGTCTAGATCCATACAGGCAAATCATGGTTGCATCTTCATATGTCATTGTCAGTTCTCTTCCATGAACACCAGATTGGATTGCCAG